GAGGAGGAAGAGGAGGAGGAAGACCCGGCCGGAGGAGGGTGAGGATGAGGCGAGGGGGTGGGGAGGGAGGGTGCGGCCTGCACAGTCCCGGCGAAGCCTCCGCTCTCTCGTAGCGGGTCCGCCCGGGTTTCCCCTACGCCCAGCCCCGCGGTACTCACCCGCCAGCCGTGCCTCGCTGTTCCCGGAGCCGACTCCACGCGCCGCCGCGTCCTCGCCGGAGACCAGTGAACACGGGCCGGGGAAAAAAAACTCCTTACAACCGGGCCTGATTGCTTCAACGAGTCCGACCTTTACGGCTGAGAGAGAGAGACTCTCAGCTTTCGGTGGGTTTTACAGCCAGACGGGCCACCATCTTACATTAGGGTAAGACTCCTCCGGCCTGCCGTGCGCAGGCGCACGCCGATCCGGTCGGGCGGGGCGGGGGAGGGGCGGGGGAGCGGCAGGCGGCCAAGTGGGCGGAGGCGGCGGGCGCGCCCGCAGCATGCTGGGAGTTGCAGTTTTCGGCGTGCCGCCGGCCAGCCGCACGCCGGGAGGCGGAGTCCTCGCTGCGAGGGCAGCCGGGGTCGCCTACCTCACGTGGCTGCCGGGCTGCTGCCGCCTTTCTTCGTGTTTTGCTCCCTGGTCAGTCCGCTTGGATCGCTGCGCTGTCATTTGGCCAGCGGTTTCCGTGAGGGGGTTCCGCAGCTTCGGTGTTTGCTGAAGCAGGGGGCCCCAAAACTCGGGGCACCTGAGACGACTTCAGGGGCGTCCTCGGCGCCCCTAGCTCCGCCCACTGTAGGTATCTAAAGGGGCGGGGCGAGCAGGTCGGCCCAGTGGAGCGCGGGATTTGATCTGGGAGCTGAACTCGCAGCTGGATCTGGCTTCTGCGTGCGGATAGAGAGTGGGCGAACATCTGTGCGCTTTTAGGGGGAACCGCGTTCTGCAGCTATAAAGCGCCCCTGGTCCCTACCTCGCCGTGCTTCTGCAAGGAAGACATACCCTAAACTGCCCTATGCATGAGAACCGAAGACCCATGCCTGTGTGCCCGATGATGGAAATTTGAGGACGTTATATAGACGAAGGTGCAAGTTACAGCTCGCCCGATACCCTGCCTTGGACACTTTCTGTGAGTCAAGTTCACAAACGCTGCACACAGTCCAAGGTAAGAATGGTAAGGTAAGGTAGGAAGGTAAGAATGCAGCCACCGCTCTTAGGAGCCGCCGGGCAAACTAACATCACACAAGTCAAAGCAATGCACTGGCCCTTCTGCCCGCCTCCTGGAATTCTGGTGGAAGTAGCGCTCCAAGCAGTTGTTATTTTGCTTATTGCGTGTTTTCTTCGCGCATTCATGCTACCAATAGCCTTCGGACTCCTGAGTGTGTGTGTGTGTGTGTGTGTGTGTGTGTGTGTGTGTGTGTGTGTGTGTGTGTGGACTGACGTGGTGGAGAGGGACGAGGAAGCAAACAATGTAAAACATACCAGGAAGTGTATGTCATAACTAATGAAAACAACAGCAAGAGGCGTTGGGAGAGATTGTAGGGCTGTGAACCTGACCTTGTGGTGAGAAGCGCTCATTTCATTCCCTTTCCAATACAGATTCTCCATGTTTCCATTCCTTCTCTGTCAAGCTCAGGCCACGAGTGTATGGTGAGAATTTAAATGTGTAATAAACTCACACTTTACCATAGATTGGAAATTATACAATCATTATAAGAATTTTTCTGGCAAGCAAATCTGAGTAGTCCTGTGGATTCTCCTCTCCTCACCTAAACCATCAGTGTAGGTGATATGTTATTTTTCCTTTGATGTAAGTGTAACCAATTTAGTAGTAGGATAAAAATAAAATAATGAAATCAATAAATAAAAAAAAGACTCCTTCCCATTATTGAAGTGCAGAACTATAGCCATAAAATGAGAAGGGGCGACAAAACAATAATGATTTGTGAATTATGGAGGGTTCATGGGGGGGGGGACGGAGGGGGAAAATGGGCAGCTGATATTAAGGGCTAGAGTAGAAGGCAAATGTTTTGAGAATGATGAGAGCAGCGAATGTACATATGTGCTTGACACAATGGATGTATGTATGGATTGTGATAAGAATTGTACGAGCCCCCAATAAAATAATTTTTTAAATATGGGAAGGGGTAAGTCTTACATCACTACTGCAGTGATTGGCAACCTTGGCTTACCCGATAGCCCTTCTGAAGATACTAAGTATTTTCGTAATGTCCCCTTAATTATCCCACAATAGTATAGCCTACCTACGTATTGATCTCCTTTGTTTGAAATCAAAAGAATGCCCTATTTATAACTTAAAGAAATACAAAGCAAATGCTGTTTTTTGTTGCTATCAGTCGACACTGACTCATAGTGATCCGGCAGAACAGAACAAAACACTGCCCAGTTCTGCGCCACCCCCATGATGGTTGGTATGTTTGAGCCCATTGTTGCAGCCGTTATAGATTTTGTATGCCTTCCAGCCCCGGTGGCATAGTGGTTACTTATTGGGCTGCAGACTGCAAGGTCAACAGTTAGAAACAACCCACTGCTGCACAGGAGAAAGCGGGGCTTTCTTCCCCACTAAAGAGTTAGTCTTGGAAATTCACAGGGGCAGTTCTACCCTGGGCCGTAGGGTCACTATGAGTCGGGATCGGCCCAATGGCCATGGCCAAGAATTTGGTTTTCTGATTTCCAAGCCACAGGCTCATCTTGAAGCACGCTACCAGAATATTTTATTGTCCTCTAGCGGGTGTTTATTGACTAGCTTTCAGAAGTCACTTTCTTCCTAGTATTTCCGGTTTGGAAGCACCAGTGAAATGTGTCCGCCACAGGTGACCCTGCTGGTGTTTATAAAGTCCCAGTAGCAACACCTTTCACCAACATAACGTCACACGAGTACAAAACAACTGACAGATACATGGTGGACAAAGAAAAACAAGCACAGAGCTAAAGTGATTGATGTTCCAATGTGTAAATGCCCAGGAATGATAAAACTAGAAGCTATGTTCGAATCATCATTTGCTTGCACTGATGAACCAAATCCCCATGAATGTGACAGGTACTTATACCAACTGACAGATAAGTGATGGTTTGACCACCTCTGGTGGACATTGCAAGGAGCTCTGGGAGAGTTGTCAAGTAAGCCTTTGGCTGCTAAGCACAAGACCAGCAATTCAAACTCACCAGCTGTTCTGAGGGAGAAAGATGAAGCTGTCTACTCCCACAAAGATTTACAAACCTTTCAAGACCCTGTATAGAGTCGCTATGAGTCCTAATCAACTCTATGGGGGGGGGCGGGGAGGGCTGGTTTTGGTGGTTGGATGGACAATACTAATAATCTTCCTCCAGCAGCCATGGCTGATGCCTTATAATGGATACTATAATTCTAGTATGTATTCCCAGTACACTGTAACCAGGCCGAAAAACAAAAATACCGTTTGAACTCACATGTAAATTGAGGTTAGGTTGTAGGTTCAGACTTATAAACGGGCTTTTCACTCATGGTGGAACCTTTAGAAACATGCTGGGCTCAAGACAGCTCTTCACGGGGAGAACCAAATAAAACCCAAACAAACCCATTGTCATCCGCCAGTTCTGACTCACAGCCACCCTACGGGACAGAGTAGAACTGTCCCAACGGGTTTCCAAGGCTGAAATCATGGACGCAGACCATCACATCTCCCTTCCATGGAGTAGATAGATGATAGGTAGCAGACAAGCATGTAGATAACTGGGCCACCCGCGTTCCCATGCATCGTAGGACATCTAGTCAATGGGCTTTGCATTATAAAGGACAGTCTTGGCTCCCAGGAATGCCCAGCACTAGGGGCCACTATCCCGTCTAGGGAGTTGCATTCATTGATAAGCCAAAACCAAACCTAACCCGCTGCCCTCAAATCTATGCCGACTCATAGTGACCCATAGAAGAGAACTGCCTCTGTGCGTTTCCTAGATCCTAACTCTCTACAGGAATAGTAAGCCTCTTCATTCTCCCATAGAACGGCTGGTGGTTTCAAACTGCTGTCCTTGGGTTCAGCAGCCCAACACATAACTACTACACCAGCCAGGCTGGAGACCTAGAAGTCAGCTAATTAGTAATAGAGTCACTGCCCCCTCCAGCCAGTGTTTTTTCACTACTCTATTACCAATCCTCATGTATGCTTATCGATGTGTACATATAATATAGACTTGTCCATATCTATGCCATTCTTGTATAACATTGAATGTTAATGAAATTCTATTAACCAGCTTAATATTAGAATCTTCAATGTGAGACATATCCATTCTTGGCTTTATGAGTTATTTTCCTTTCCCCTCAATCTTGGGCATTGCTCTGGGCACTAGCCAGCAGAACGTGGTCAGTCCAGCTCTGCCCCAGTCCTCAGAGCATGGTGGCCCAGCGGGGGGTGGGGTGTTTGGAGGCCAAAGTAAACAAGTCCAGTTGCCATGGAGTTGACTCACAGTGACCCGATGTATGTCAGAGCAGAACTTTGCTCCACGGAGTTTTTAATGGCTCGTTGTTGGGTTATTTTCTTCCAAAAATGGATCGCCAGGTCTTTCGTCTGAGATGCCTGTGGGTTTATTCGAAATGCCCATTTTGGTGTTAGCATCTGAGCACGTTAACCCTTGGCACCCAGGAACAGCAATATATATTCGTACCCTAGGAATGTATATAAGGGGGCTTCAAAAAGGTCATGGAAAATGGGCTAAGGGCTTCACCAGAAGGGCTTAACCTAGAGGCCTGACTGAAGGCACCGAGCCCTGCCTCAAAGTTGCCTGCACCCTTGGACTGAGAACTAGGGTACTCGGATGGGAGAGGAAGCAGCGTGTGGCTGCCCCAGGGCTGTGGAAGTGGCAGTCATTGGACCTTGTGGGGAACCCTTGGCTTGGGGGTGTTCAATGGAACGGGACTCAGAATCACCATATATTTAGTACCTTGATTCCCCCTCGCAATGATATGACAGGTTTTGATCTGTTGGGCAGGGATCTACACTTGGAAGAATTACAGTAGTCCAGGAAGACTCCCCCTGGTACCAATCCCCATACTTGGGTAACAGAACTCAGTCGAATGGGAGATCAAACTGTGTGGGGCAACATTTGGGTTGTGGCTCATGGTGGAGCTATACTCACAAAGACACCTCATAACAACAGTGTCCGGAGTGATGTGTCACTGGGGGAAAATTTCAAGATGTTATCGGTGTATTCGCCTTATACCCCAGGGGGACGATTGCCAATGTTTTACTTTTTTTGTTTTTTTTATCATTTTATTAGAGGCTCATACAACTCATCACAATCCATACCCAATGTTTTACTTTTTTGTTTGTTTGTTTTTTTAATCCTTTTATTGGAGGCTCATGCAACTCTTATCACAATCCATA